ATACTAATCATTTTGCAAAATTATCCACCATTATATTTTTTAAAATTTTTTCTTTTGCTAAAAACATCATAAAATTTTCTATAAATTTCAATTCAACATACTTAACTTACAAAAAAGTAAAAAAACTAAAATATAAATGTTAAGAATATATACGTGTGTTAATTTTTACAGTAAATAAAAATATAATAAAGTCCACTTAAAAATATGAACATACACTCACAATATCTTGAATAATATCATTTCAACACAAAATATGGATAAATCAACGTTTTTGTTGCCAAAGAATATTATGGTCTGTAATTTGTGTTGTTTAAGATGTGTGAAATAACATAACTCAACATATCGTTTTTTTTTTTGAAAGGTTGTATCTTTGAGTGAAAGCAGTATTTTATTAATATTCATAAATTAAGAAAGAGTAACTCACATGTAGTTTGAAAGAAATAAACTTTTTAGAATAAACTCATATAAATAAATAAAAATTTACTCTCAAAAAGAAAAAAAATGCATGTATATATATATATATATATATATATACATATACACATTTGTTCTCAAGGATTTAAATTTATTTCTTCTCAAGGATATATTATGCATTTCCTTGAGAATGCAAAAGAATTAGACAATGAAGACATTCAACTTTAAGATGTTATTTGTAAAAAATGTTATCAACCCAATGAACTTCAGACATGTGGCAATTCTGAGGGATGTTTGTGGGGTGATTGGTTACGTGGCACCCGTGCTATAGAAGCTTTTGGATGGGAACCCAATGGTTGGTTCCTTTGTGGGAGTAGTGTCTCATAGTAGGAAGGACCCACTTGCATTAACATGAGAAGGGTAAGGGAAGGGAGGGGAGGGGAGGAGTGCACTCAGTCTTCGCCCTCACTAGCCTACTTCTAGGGGATTCTCACAAGCCTTTGAGTTACAAACACAGTCTTGTGATGGTACATTCTTAAAATAACCATCACAATAATAATAGTAATAATAACAACAACAACAACAGTTATACCCACACTACCAAAATTTTTTGGTCATCACATTATTCTGGGCAATTAGTCCTGGAATATTGCTGATATAGATATATATATATATATATATATATAGAGAGAGAGAGAGAGAGTTTTAGATTCTTATATTAAAACCTTCTTTTGTTTTGAAGGAATTATTGGGCATAATTACAACAAACACATAGAATTGTATCAAATATATATTTGAAATTTCTGTATTATTTTTCAACACGTTTTCACATATTTTGTGCTTCTTGTTGACATGAATTTCGAAGACAATTTTTTAAAAGTATTTGATATGTATTTGTGCATATGAGTGAATAAAGAAATAAATAAATATATAGATAACTCACCTCTAAAGTTATTCTTGAAACCACACTATAATCAAATTGTCTTGAATAAGCATGATAGTTGTTTTCTTATTGATACTTTGTTGAGGCTAAAGTATTTGTGTTCTACCAGTAATAAACAATTCTGCAAGACTGCACGACACCGTACAGCACGCCCAAAATTTCACATTATACTGCAAAAACATTTACGTAAACTAGATTGAGAGGTACAAACTATGACATAAAGATTCATAATTAGCAATTCTAATGAAAGTTTCCTAAAACAATAGTATTTTGAGAAATTCAAAGTTCAAAATTCAAAAAAAATGATCATATATTAGTATATATGTGTGCATATATATATATATATATATATAATTAACCTAAAACAATTCTATAACTTTTGGAATTTTATTTTTAAATATAAAGAAAATTCGAATGTTTGTATATGTGCAAATTAAAGAAGAACAGAAAAGAAGAAAAGAAAAGAAAAGAAATCATGACCCACGAGGTTAGCTGCTACATCATGCAATTTTAGAACTTTTGTAATCATGTCTATAGTTTTAACACCCTTTTGAGTATTTTAAAAAATAAATAAATGTTGATCTGATTTTTTTTTTTTTTTTTTTTTTTTTTTTTGGTATTTTGTAACTATCAAAACGTAACATATATACTCATAAACATAATATGTATATATATATATATATATATATATATAAGTTATAAAACATATCCATAATTTGAAAAGCATTATGGGTTGCATTAAATAGTGTAGTAATGTGTCAGAAAAACTGTATTATTCTATAATACGTCTTACATTTTAGTATGTATTATTTACTCCTTTTGGTTTGCACTTCTTGATGTAAAATTCCATATGTAAAAAGAATATGAAAATGTTTTTATTTTCATTTATATATTTTCAGTTACATATTAAAATTATATATATATATATATATATATATATCAATGCATAGTTTTATTTTATTTAACTTCAACTTTAAGAAAAAAAGAAAATATTTATATTTCATAATTTTGATATTTATTTTTAAATTTTAATACATCCAAAAACATACACACATACATACATGTATATTAATGAGTGGGTGATAATTTCATCCTCGTGTAGAATGACGTAAAAATTTCCCAATAAAACATACAACACACGAATTCACACTCATTATACAACACAAATGTTGCATTTGCCAACGTCATGGGGTTGCACAGACGTAGCTCATTCAGGCTGGATTGAGTGGAACACTCTGGGATACGAGAGCGCCGCGTGGGGTACAGGTTCTCGAGAAACCAAGGCTCCCACACAGCAACAGAATCCAGGCACACAAGGGGGTTCATAAATCCCCATTCACGCCCCGCGGGTTGGATCGGTGCACCCAACTCCGATCTCGACAGCCAGAAAAGCTAAAACGCTAAGCAAGGCATCATAATAGTAATAAATATTACTAGTAACCATACAATAAGTATAAAGATTTATAAACAAAATATGGGTAGCTCTCTCTCTCTCTCTCTCTCTCTCTCTTTGTGTCTGTCTGTCTGTCTGTCTTTCCCAGCTAGCTGCTAATGTGGAGACTTCTGGAAGGATGTTCGGTGCTGGATTATTATGGCAGACAAAACGCACTGCAGACGACGACGACAACTTCTACGACGACGTCTACGACGAAACAGTGTTGTCAGCTTACATAGATTATGTTTCATGCCCCTTCTGCTGTTACTACTTTTTGCCCATCAACACAAGCAAAATTTAATCCCTTCCATGCTCACCTCATTCATCGTCACCATCGTCATCATCCACTGCTGATCAGTGCTCTGTAGAGTGCACACACAGATACACATGCGCACAAGGTCCCTCTTTCTCTCTTCATGGATCCCTCGACCTCACCATTGCCTTGCTTGACTGTGCTGTCAAAAGCCAAACCCGTGTGCCAACAATTCATCTTGCCTGCCAGTAACAAAAAAAGAAAACAAAGATGATAGTGGTTGGCCAAAGGAGGAGGATGGGGTTGGAAACTGATGGAGGTCCACCCATTCCTCCCCTGCGCGGCCCCCAGCAATTATTTTCATTTTTCATTTTTAATTTGTATTGTCTGATTTTATTTTATTTTATTTCCAGATGAGAGCACGAAATGGAGGCTGATGACACGAAATCGCTGAACGAGTCTAGTGTAGCAGGGGGTCCACCATCCCTGAAAGGTGGTGGAAGGCAAATCTCTGCTGCGAGTACAATGGTGTGGACAGGATACCTCACGCTCACGCTCTCCACCACCACCACCAGGATGAAGAGGAAAGGAAAAAATATAACAGAAAAAATAAAAACTGGTTCAGAGCTCTTCTCCTCTCTCTCTCTCTATCTGTTGCCAGGCCCTTGTATCACATCTGGCAAAATCCTTGTGTTACTCATCTCGTTTCGTAGACTCCAAGTGTTTTGATTGTGAGGATTGTGTTAGTACCTGCTCCTGTGGGGGGTAAAAAAGAATACTTCTCTCACCCAGTACCAACACCGATCAGTGTCCTGATACTATTCAAACACTCTCAAGTACAGCAGAAAGTGTGGACGAGCCATGTTCAAGAGAGTCACTTGATAAGTAATGTTTTACCATGCTTCTTTTACTGGGTTATTTACGAGGAATCAAAGGCACGGAGACACTTTTAGTTGTTGGACTGGGTAATGGCACAGGCTTCAAGGTTCCCCCAAAGGAGCAGGATATACACAGACGCTTCAGCGATGCTTTGCAGACCAGACTGGTGTGCAAACAACGCTCCCAGGGCACCTCGTGAATTGTCTAAGATCCAGATCTCTAAAAAGGGGGCTCTAGCTTCGTTGCTGCAGTCTTGGCATGAGAAGAGCAATCTTACTATCTTATTATTATTATTATTATTATATTTATTATTATCTTTTATTTTCTCGTTCAATGGTGTCATGCTGATTTTATCAGCGCAGGCTGAATATAATGGTATGTTTGCTAATATGATGAACGATAAACGACACGTAGAGGATGGACAAGAGCTGTTGAGTATTAAGTTCTCAGAGATGCACGAGGGAGCAGGTTGAGGAGGGAAACAAGCTAAGAGACAAGGGAACATGGGAGTGTTTGAATTTTCAATAGTTTTCTTTCTGAAGGTGATAAGATGGAACCTGGCTTTCTGTTTTGTTGTTGGGTGAAAGCTCTTAAAGAGGCCTAACTCCTGTTCAACATGTTAAAAATACAAGGGAGAAGCCACACTTAAAGGACAATGAGGGCTAGGGGCCCTTATTTCAAATGCAATACTTCCAAACAAACTTTCGGATATCATAATTGAACAACGAGGGAAATGAGTTTTTGCTTGTAGTCCGGGCTCGAAGAGAGCTCCTAGGGCAGATCTATTGAGACCCGGAAGGTTGGGGGATGCAACCCTCACATCGTCTAAGGGACAAAATGAGTAACGGAATTATTCTAAATAAAAACCACCGAATCATGGGCTCATGATCTTCCAAAGCTTTGACTTGCATTAATTCCTGGTCAGTTCAGGTGTAATAAATATTAGCACCCGAGTGGATTTCGGAGGGTTGCCTGCCACAATGCAGTAACAAGAATTTTTTAATTGCGTAACACGATGCTCGGGTGGGGGGCTGTGTAGAAGAAAGCTGTGTTTTGCTGTTGCAGTGAGGATCGGACATGGAAAGCAGAAGATCCCTCCACGAGCAGGTTGGCCCGTGACCCCTTTCAGGTTGCAAGTAATCTACCACTTCCACCCCACCCCTCCCACCTGGGTCCAGTTGCTCCACCTGGCAAAGACAAAGGCAAAAGGCCAAAGGGGTCTGATGGTGTTGCAGTGATGAGCCCGATCCAGAAGCGAGTGCCTTGGGATCGCTTGCGCCCTTTCACCTGCAAGGCAAGCATGTTTTTAGCTCCGAGACACCTCTGCTGCATCCAGGACGAGGACGAGATGTCTGGTAGGGTTTGTAGTGTGTGTGTAGCGATAGTACTAGAGCCTGCCTGGCCGTCTTTCTCCGTGGCCTATGTTCCCCTCTGTGATGCTGCAACTACATATACGATGCACCCGCATCTCACTCCAATCAATTGCTCTTTCTCATTCCCTTCACATTCCGTTCAGCCCTCTCAATACTTCGCCTCTTCTCTCCATTCCTACCTCATTCCACTTCGTTGTTGGGTACTTGCCCACTTCGAGCGTTGCACTGGTTAGATTATATGCACCCACAATAGGCATTGCGTGAGTCAGGCTGTTACGCGTTCGTTGTTTCGATATTGCCCATGTTATCTAAATCACAGTTTGGAAGAGCTGCGAGTTAATAGCTGGGAAGTAGGGTGATTGCCGTTTGTATGGGCTCAAGCAGCCTTCAGATGAAACTCGGGGTTGTTTTCAGGATCTGAGTCTTTGTGCAGATTCCCCAGCAGTAAGCATAACCAAGTGTCATGTGCAGCTCGACTAGCAATGTTATGACAGGTTTCGCAGCTTAGAGGCCGTGCGGAGTGGCTAACTGTCACCAAATCGAGGTTGTCCTCGCAAACAGAGAGCTTTGACGCATCGAGCTCACATGAGTTATGGTCTGGAGCTATCCAACTGTTCATAGCATGAATATAACGGTTGTAAAGCTGAATCATGCCTCAATCCTCAGCTCTAGCCCAACCTCATCGAAATTTAAGAGTAGTCAGAAATGAAAGTAAGTCTGTTGCCACGCTCGACGTTTATCTTCGAAGTAAGTGGTTCTTACACGTTCCCTTCCTCAAGTTTCTAATGCCGTATTCACCACTCGCGAGCCCTCTCGACAAGTCGACTGATAGTCTAAGCATGATTACTCTAATCAAATACTGCAATACGGTTTCCGTGTACATCTCTAGATTGTTGCAGATGCATCCGTACCTCTTTTTCTCCACCGTCTGGATTTTACGTCCGTACTTGAGAGTCCAAGATTTGAGTTCTTACGGCAGATGCAGGCAATCTTGGTGGATTGCCTCAAATGAGATGCCGCACGTAACTGTCCTTGGCATCTATAATTGAGTTTGTATTTGTATGTCAGTGACTGACGGGTTCTTGTCGTTGAAGTTTTTCAGTGGTCACTAGATCTAGTTCTATTCATCTGCATGTGGCTGTCTTGCCTCTCGTTGGCTGGTGTTGAGAAAGACTGAAGCAAACCAAGGGGGAACTTTGTGCATCATTTCGAATATGTTCTCTTTGACTGGTCATCCGTGTTGGCTATATATTTGGCATTTGCATGTAGTAGAACCTCTAACCTCCCAGTGCAGAATGACTTGGACAACTTTCCATCATCGTGTCTTTCAGATGTCTCCATTGGGCACCATGAAGTGTGTGTGCGCTCTTCAAGGATACGTCATTATTTTTTGTCGAAGATTTTTTGGATGAAATTACTCCAAGATCATAACAGGAGCTTTTTAACTTACGAAGAATCTCAGCACCTGGCTGTCGAACTCAGGCAGATCAGTGTGATTTGTTGGATCTAAGCTTACAGCATGCGAACCATACTGATTCCTCATAAACCCTAAACCTTTCTGGGCTATCCTCTGTCTAATTTCTGCGTACACATCCTGTTTGTCTGTGGTTGTCGTGATATAACTCCACCTTAACTTCTGAAGGAAAAACTGAGTTTATGTTCGCAATGTTATCAAGTCTGTCACAATAGCAACTGTCTCATATTGTTTCGAAGTGTGGCAAACGTACATTGTATCATGGTATGTTGCATGTTTGAAAATTTGCCCTCTCAGTTGGTCTCTACTTCTAACTTGTTCGTATGTGGCGTCTAACATCGATTGTTTGAGTTCGTCAAGATGTAAGTTGGTTTCTGTACATTGTGATGTTCAATCATCTTCAACCAAGCTTCGGGGTTCGCCAGAAGCTTGTTCCTCAGCAAGTTACATGTAGATTCTAATGTAGACTTCTACTAACTGATTCCTTATGTTCCATTCGTCCCTTCTAATTCCGGAGGTGCTGGTGATCACTTAATCGACGAACTCCATGTTTAATTGTCTCGGTGATCTGAATTACTCTCCACCTTCATGTTTTAGCGACAGAAAAACTGCGCGTCTTTCTACAGGTAAGCATAACCAAGCAAAGGGATTCACATGTCCAGCAGAAGGGGTAGGGAGATGATCTCGATGTTTGATTATTGTGCCCTGGAAAACTTGAAGACCAAAAGTAGGTTATCTCGATGTGCATGAACATCGTGATCCCTAACCAGAATCCAAAATGACATACGGCGATCATGGGAATATGTCCATTTGTCAACGTTGGGGAGTGGAACTGCCTGGCTCCCTGTATGCCACCTGCGGGGCTTGCCAAAGTGATTGTCGAGCTGCATAGCTGGCATCCAGGGAGCCAGACAGACCTCCTCCCATCGGTCGCGTACCTCTTTCTGTCAGCACTTCCAAATAGGCGAATATGCCCATTGACTAGGTCCTCTCGATCCATATGGGTGCACTTGCCGATTGGACCAGAGAGCATGTTGCGCACGTTCTAGCTGGGACTGCATTGGTTCGCTCCCTAGATAGGCCGTGGATTAGGTGCTCCAGGCTTATCGGCAACTTTTGAGTCGTTCTAAGAGGTGTTCTTTTTGATTCCATGAGTTTGAAATGAGTTAAATTACCACATGCATGCTGAATCTCACTGTATTTGAACACAATTGTTGGGGCATCTTTCCTTATGACTTTTAAATCCTAGGCCAGATCCAACTGTTGACACTGAATCCGAATGTTAGTTTTCGCAGGATGTCACATTGTGGAAGACGTTAACAAAACGACGATAATTGTTTCGCATTTTGGCAACGGGCGAGGAATGGCATTGCATAGTATTTGCACTGCTGTCACGAGTTTGCTTTGAATGTTGTCGTGAGATGACCTGCATGAGAATTTTGATACAATATTTCAATAAGTACGAAGAAGCTTCTTGGTCGAATGCGCTTTTCAAAGCCAACTAGTAGTGTGTACTCGATTACACTTCTAGCTTGAGGACAGCAGTGCAACAGTTTGGGCTGCATCGGAGTACTGAACGTACATAGCTCTCTGTAGGCAGTCTATCACTACAAAAGTGTGATCGCCTGCAACTGCTGTTGATAGACATCTGATCGTTAGATACAGCTACATCCGATATTTCCTAGACACAATAATGGGAAAGTACTTATCAGGTTTCAACCAGTTTTTAGCATTGCCGGATTGCTCCGCTGGACGGTAAATTCGAGGGTAGCAGGAGGGTATCCGGGTTTATATTCAGAGAATTGAGCCTGGACCAGAACATTGTAAGCCTACGACTAAGTTTCAATGTTTTCACACAAGATAACTAATATTTTAGGTTGCATTTCCGCAACCCATGTTTTATAAAAGTCAAGTCAATCCTCGCATAATCACTAATATTGATTTGCTTTCTGAACTGGAACGCAAAGGATTGGCTTTTTCTGCGGCTTTTGACCAGTCTAGCGTGAAATGCTTCGCTCTGTTCTTCAACCTGACAACCCAGATTTGATTGCACTCAATCGTTAAGTTGCATATTTGCAGCTTGAATGGTGTTCGGATTAGTTAATATCGTGTACAAAAACGATGCTCACCGTGTACAGAATCTTCACACTAATCTAGTGGTAATGCTTAGCGGCATCTCTAAGTCATGGTTCTCAATCATCGTAAGTCATGATATACACATGATATACTGCAAATCCTCGTCATCCCGTATAAACAAAGAATTTAGTCAGATCTGCAGATGCATTCCCCTAGGGCCTGCAACGAAGGATGCATGCGTAGATACCCAAACATCTGATTTCTGTGCATCAAGCCAGCAGAAAGAACTCGCTTGCAAATCCATCAGAACGCTGTGTAGACCTTGAAACCCCGAGACAACTGTCCTGTGACAAAGATTTAATATTGAATCACAACGAACGATTTCCTACGATTTGAAGCTGACAGAAAATCTGCTTCTAGGATTCCTGTCGTGTGCATTGTACGTGCTGCTTGCTTACGGAGGATGTACACAACTGATGCCGGATAGATCATTTGAACGGTAACGGGTGAGACTGCTCGATAGCTTTGTATATAACCTCTTCGCAGAAACGCCACTGAACTTTCCATCCACGCGACACTTTAAACTCGAAACTTGAGCTGCTTTGGACAGCCTGTTCACAGTGTGGAAACTGTACCTGTAGCCCGTGCATGTAACTCTAACAGGCCGGAGGTAGGCATTATTATCATGCCGTAAATACCATACAGACGTACTTGACAATGAGCTGATGCAATTGTAGAATCTCAGAACAAGGATGCTGCATCAATTGGTCTCTCGCACATTTAAGCAACAACAAGGTCGACCTCAAGTTTATCTAAGTCAGAGAACATTCTTAGTTCACAAGAGCTTCAGTGACTAAGGATACGAACAGCACACTCTGAAGTGACCACCGCTACAATGACACAAACATGAAGCATGCTTCGAACCCTCCTCCAAAAACATTTATAAGCTCTGACAAACCCAGTTGATTCGAATCCTACACTGCAAGATATAGTGAACTGAGCTACAGACCGATCCTTTTCAACTCATTTACCTAGCTGATGTTGAAACGGCACAAAGAACTAACAAATAGAGGTCCAGTTATGGATCCAGGTTTCTCTTTCTGTCCTGATGTCTGCTGCCTCCGAGATGCAAGCTTTCTTAAACCAAAGAGAACAGGCAGAATCCAAGGATCAGAGTCGGCCAATTACAGCAACATGATTCTTTAATTTTTAGTAAAATCAAATAAAAAATAAAAATGATAAAAAAAGTTACATCTCTATGCACTTATAGGTCATTATATCTATTAATAATAATATATGATTTTTCATAGAGGATTTATTTATTTTTATCAAAACTTAAATATATTATGTATAATATCTAAATAAAATAGAAAATTATTCTTTAAAAAAATATAATTTTTTATATTATTTTAAAATTATATGATTTTTTAATATTTAAAGCTAAAATTCTTTTATATCTAAAAGATGTATTTATTTTATTTTTTATGTTTTAATTACCTAAAGTTATATAAGATAAAATTCTAAGAAATTTAATTTATAAGATTTTTTTATAATTTATTAAATTTTAAATATTTATATAAAATATCCAATTACCTTCTTGGAATGATCCATATTACATTTGTATTTTATTTATTAATCAATAAATTTTAATAAGTTCTATAAATAAATATTTTTAAATTTAATTTTTTAAAATATTTAAATATACTTTGAATTATTTTTAGAAATAAAGTCCTACATCATGTTGTAAAATCTAAATTAGATCTTATGTCTTTGAATTATACAACTTCTGTTCTTATAGAATTGATATATTATATTTAGACTATATATTATTCATTTAATATTTAAATCTTAAATTTTAAAATTATTTAATAATATATTTTATACTATATAATTTTATTCAATTTTAAAAATAAAACAAAAAATTAGTTATTTTTATCTTTTTGATGCTTAAAAGACTTTATATTCTTATTTTTATAAAAAATTGATATTTTTACAAAAATAAATAAATGCTACTTAGAATTGATTAAAAAAAGATAAATTTATTTTGCAATGATTTTTTTCTCAAGTATTTGTATTATTTCTAATTCATATTTTATAATTGTTATCATTTAAGATGTTCTATTGATCATTGTTTTGTTTTAACTAAATAATTTTGTGATCATTCTATTGTCAAGGACACACACTGGAAGAAGATGCATAAAGTCAAGGAATCTGTGTCAAAAGGAAAGTGATAAAATAGAAGAAAGTATGTATATTCAAAGAAAAACTGGAATGGCTATTGCCAAAGACTAGAAAACATAAGACTCTTGAAATTAGACTAAAAAGCAAGAAAGGAGTTGACAAGAGTGAGGAAGGCCTCATTCTTGCCTCTATATATACTACTTAACTAAAAAAATACATGGCGACATACTATAGGACCTCTAATATACATCCAACTTATAGGATACATGTCTAATTTGTAAGGCAAGTTTCCTAGGTATGCACTATATGTCTAACTTGTACTACAAGTGGTCAACATATTGATACGTGGCCTCCTTGTTGGCCAAGTTTTCAACCTATCGATCACCTATATACATGTGTAAAGAGAAAGCAGTATCTATGAAGCTTTTAGGAAGCTTTTCACAAGATATTATCATATTTATCTACTTTGACTTATTTCTAACTATTCTTATTATCTAGATAATTATCAGAGTAAATATGTATGTTTGAGACATTGCCCTCTCTTCTAAAGACGAGTTCCATAAAGAGCGGTGATTACATATTGATGAAGTCCAAGATGTGCCAAATTATATTTGCCACGTATTTTGATCGTTATTTCCTTAGAAGGTAGTTAATAGGTCCTTTCAACCATCGATAATGTCCCATACCAAGGCAAGAAGACCACCTTGATATTTGATCATTATTGAGGCCCTCATAACTTCCTTCAAACAAAACATTAATAATACCATCAAGAATAGTTCCTATCTCCAAATGTATTACTAAACACCAGAAGTCCCTTCCAAGGTTGCGGTATCAAATGTGTTATATCTTGCCATCTATTCGAAAAAGAACAAATTATTCTAAAGGATCTTCATATAGATTTTACTGTCTTGAAAGTTGTAATAGTCGTAATATCTCATCTAGTAGCTTAGCAAATGATGGCTCTTGAATTGAATCTACTTGTTGTTAGTTCTGCATCTCCTAATCACTAAAAAATCCAAAGAAACAATGATACAAGATAGAATGAAATCTCCATTGGGCTTATTTTGCTTTATAGCAAAGAATTTCTTGACTCTTCATCTTGGTTTTGATGGATGTTGTTGATAAAAAGCTTTAACTTTGGTTGATGCATTTGCTAGATTCTTAGATGGCTCCCATGTACATTCATTTATGTCATATCTATGCCAATGTACAAGATAATCAATTTGCCTTATCTTTCGCCGCAGGATTATTAACTTTTGAAAAGTTAAAAGTATCAAATTGTGGATGATAATTGTAATTGGCAAAGAAAGGTATTTGTTGGATAGAAGAATGTATCAAATTATTGTAAGCAAACTCTGCTAATGGCAAAAGAGTTGTCTAATCATCTTATTGATAGTTGATAGTATACCTCAAGTACTCCTCTAAAACTTGAGTTATTCATTCTGTTTGTCTATCAATTTGAGGGTAAAAAGTCAAAGATAGTTTTATATCCACCTTCAATATCTTAAAAAGAGTTCTCCAAAATCTCAATAAAAACTATGTTCTTCTATCTGATATAATATCCCTTGGTAATCTATAATAGTGATATATATTGTCAAGGAAGAGTTTAGCTGTTCCTTCACTTGTGATAGATTTTGTACATGGTACAAAATGTGCCATCTAAGTGAAACGATCTACAAATACAAATATGAAATCATATGAACTTGAAACTAGAAGTTCCATGATAAAATCTATAGAGACAGAAGACTATGATTGTTTTGGTATATGTAATGGTTGAAGGAGTCCATAAGGTCAAGGACAAGGAGTTTTTGATCTTGAACAAATATCACATGTCTGCACAAATTTTTTAACACTCTTTCACATTTGAGGCTTCCAAAAATCTCTAGATATAAGCCTCAAAGTCTTATTATATCTAAAATATCTTGCTATATGGAAATTGAGCTTCAAGAGCATGTAATCGTGCTTCTCCTTTTCAAATATATAAGTGTCCTTCAAAATAGAATAGGTTCTTCTTAAACTCAAACTTAGAAGTATCTTGAGACTTAAAAGAATTTTTTTCAATATCACAAACAAGAAGGTCTAAGGACGTACTTACTTGAATCTACTTAAGAAAAGTCAAATCAATAATCAATGTTAATTTCATTGCTTAGAAATGAATTTTTTTTGTCTTCAATAAAATTATCTTTTGTTGGTCAAAAGTTGTTTCTTTTTTTTTTGGTATGAAATAAGAATATTTAGAAATGACATCACACAAACCTTGTTGTTTGCTTGGTTGATAAGTGATATTGAACTTGAATCTTGACAAAAACATCCTCCAACGAGCTTGGCAATGATTCAAAATATGTGTTGATATAAAATACTCAAGGTTCTTGTGATCTATATATATGGTGGCTGGACTTGAAGCATCTTTTAGATAATGATGCTATTCTTGAAAAGAATCCACGATTGTAAAAAGTTCCTTGTTATGGATCTTATAAATAATCTCGATTGCTGAAAATTTTCTTGAATGAAAAGCTACTGGATGAAGTTTGTCATCTGCTCCTATTTGTGATAAGACTGCACCTAAGGCAAAGTTAGATGCATTTGTCTCCATAAAAAATGCTTTGGAGAAGTCGATGCAATGTACAATTGGTGCAAAAATAAAAGCTTTTTTCAAAGCTTCAAATGATACTTTTGCTT